AATGTAATTAAACAATTATTGAGTTGCCCTTTGAGATATTTTTTTTTTTAAGTATCCAAAGTAGATACTCAGTTTGACAACTTCTTAATTATTATTATTTATTATTAATATTAAGCTTGCTATTCATAATAATTGTTTGCTCAAATAATAATAGAACGAAAATAAATGAATAATTTTTCTTTAATTATTCCCCAAAATAATAGTTGAAAAATCACTTTAAAAGCCCATTTTAAATATTTCATTTCACCCCTGTAATCAGTTGTTAAGTGTAAGCAACCCTCTCGAATTGACCAGGTAGCATTTGATGCAAATTTATATACCCAGGGGTTGTTAATTGCAAAAAGCGCATAATTGACTGACTGTGTGGCTGAAGTTTACTTTCATATTCGAATTGCAGATAATGCAAAATGTGAATGCAAACGCGCTATGAGAGAGGGCGATATGCAAATGCAAATGGGAATGTAAATGAGTTTTGCGAGTGGAATTGCCAACTGATTGAGTACGCGGGGGGATGGATGGGTTGACAGTGGGCATTCAGGTTGGTGTTTTTGTTTGTGTTTGTTGTGCATTTAATTGAAATTTAATTATGTTACTCTCTGCCTCCCACCCTCTGACCCTTGCGCAGAGTTCTCAATTCAGCTGGTAATTACGTTTATCGGCACATTTTTAATTGACAGTTAATGGCCACTAAGCACTGCTATCAGTTGTGCATATTTGAGCTCCATCAATTGCATGGAAATACCATTACAAGTGATGCCAATTAGTTATTTGCTTTATTATGCTGGGGAAGTGTTATTTCAATTGAGAGTTATAATTATTGAGCTTCAATATTTTAGCATATAAATTTATGTTTACATTTTGTATATTCAAAATAATTGAGTGAAGCACAAAATTGCATTCTTTAAGATTTTTCATAAAAAAGTATGATATTAAAAGGAAAAATATTCGTAATTTTAATGTTATAGGAAAAGGCTTTAAAATTTTTATAAAATGAATTTTGTGTTTTGTCCAATACTTTAAAAAACAAAAACAAATTTTCGATATTTTCATTTTCAAAAATATTTAATGTATTTTTTTTTTTAATAATATTCATATTAGAATATTTTGAATATTAAATATATTTTAATTTTTAGAATTTTAATACTAAATGTTAGTAATATATCAATTCGTTGAAACAAGTAACATCGTTCAGTATGCAAAGCTTTCATTTCAATTAGTATTAGTAAGTTCTTCTATTTTTTAGTTATTCATTCGAACAATAGTTTAGTATAATAATTAAATCAATCTGTAGCCATTTTTTATTTTTGATTATTCTTTTTTTTACCTCTTATTCATAAATTTTTATCGTTTTTCACTCCATCATTATATAATCTAGCTGATATTTACTTTTATCGCTGTCCGAACACATCATCCATCATCTTTTCTATAAATATAGGGTCATTATTTTCGCTTATGTGAATATTATTCTCATTTGGTTTATTTGGATATTTAAAAACATTGATTGGCATATTAAATGCTTTGCGCACATTATCAAACAACAAAGCAAAAACAAAACCAAATTATACGATTTATGCCCAAAGATCAAACTAAGTATATCCCATAATTATTATTTAAATTTGTTTTCTATTTCATTTCCCAGCGGTTGCTTCATTAACTTTTCTTTATTTATGCGCGTTTTGTTTATTCATAAAGCTTCTGCGGTCGATTCGCAGTTTTATTTTACTTTGTATTATGTTTTTTTTTTTTTTTTTACTTGAAAATTTCCACTCATTAAGTTCTTGCAATCTGCATGGCTCTCGTTCCTACGCTCTTACGTTCGTTTCATGCTTCGAGCATTTAGCCAGCTTAACTAATCACTGCAGCGGTACATTATTAGCCAAACCCACAGCAATGGCTAAGCAATTAACCGGACTCGGTGCGAAAGCAGCACCATCGTTTACAAAACAGTATTTAACGTCTCGCCCTGGCTCAATTTGCTTGACCACGTTAATAAGCAGCTGCGAGCTATGAGCTGCAATTCGTTGTAGAACTTCATTGCTCAAATAAGTAAGAACGTTGCAGTCGGGCGCAACCTACTGCGTGATACTTTGCTTCCCATCTTACTTTTATACCCGGAACTCAATGCTAATGGGAAAATATAGGATAGGATATTCTTCGATATACCATGCATGCTAAGACTTGTAATAGTATAACTGGATTTCTGGCATACCGGAAAATGCTTTTTCCGATTCGCCTTAGTGGGTCTATCTTGACAGTTTATCAATCAAATATATATATTCTGAATTTGAAAGCGCCGGAATGGCTTTCGCTCAAACGGATAGACAAAACCAATATACTCTTATTCCCACACAAAGTATAACAACTGCCAACTGGCAAATAATCAATTTGGCGCTTCTTTTGTTGCCCAAGCGAAAGAAACTCTTCTTCATTGTGAATTATTTGAAAGCACCTTTTAAGAACTCGTTGCGTTCGACTGCAAAGTTTTTCGCCATAAATAAATCGATGGCTAAAGTTGAAGCAGTCGCTAAGCAAATATCTCTTGCCATGCATTATTAAGTTTGGCCAAAATAAAATTTATGATTTCTCAAAGGAAGCAAAAAGCAAAAAAAAAAAAAAAAAAAAAAAAGGAAATGCCAATAGCATATTAATAAAAGATTTTTCATTGCTGCGACCGAGACGATAAAATATTATTATCATCGTCTTATGAAAGCCATAAAATCTAAAGCAGCTTTTGTAGCCAAGTTACTCAAGTGGCTTTTTGGCTTTTGACTTCTGGTATTTCTTTTTCTTTTTTTTTTTTTTGACGCATGATTTATTATTTATTAATAACAATTTTTTTACGGAACCCTGCGTGTGGCCTATTGTATATCTAATCTGTTGCCAATTGTTGCACTGCCAATTGGCAAGCTGTTGCCAATTTTTGAATTGTTAAAAATTTGTTGTATCATAATTATTTTACAATCATCATTATTGAGTGACTCTTCAGGCAATTGACCTTTAATATATGAGTTGGCCTTAAATTGTTGGTTAGCAAATGGATTTTTTATGAGTCAAATTTATTTATTTACTTTTGTTTTGATTTTGTTTTATTGCAGATATTTTGTGCTCACCCGCGACTATTTGCATTGCTTTAAACGTGCCTCGGGCTCGGCCAATGAACGTGCCTCGGATATGGGACAATTTATATTTAAGGTAAGTCCATTGTAGCCAAGTTAAACATTTATGAAAGATGTCAAAGGTTATGCACTAAGGATCAAGTTACAGTTTTTAGATATTTTTGAACAAGTATTTATGGATTTTTTTTAAATTTGTTTTCAAGTTTTTAGCCTGAAAAAAAAAAACTTTAGTAAACATTTAACTTGTTAGCGTTCTGATGATTATTTGTGGGAAGGATATGAAAACGTTGATGCACTTGCAGTCCCTTATATGGTTTGTGGGTCTAAACAAAGAAGTCGTATTTTTCTGACTTACACAATACTTTTCCATATTATTTTACAACACTATAAAGAAGTTGTCTCCAGTTGTCGGTGATGTCATTTATATGGGAAGTTGCAAAACACTTTTCGGTTTACCCTATATTTAAGCTTAAAACTTTTATTACTGTACATATCGCTATAAATCTTCAGCACGCCCCACCAATTATCCAGAGTTACCTCAGCGGGGTTAGCCCAACAGCTTGACCAGGTTAACACCCAAAACTCACACACACTCTCACGCATACTATGCGCACACCCTGAGCAAAAAGCACAGATCTTTTGCTTATTTACTACGCATTGTAAAATTCTATTACCGCAACGAGATTTATGCCAAGTATTATGAGAACTACGAGTATAACTTTTTCATACTCATGATTATTATGACTGTGCAGCGCGCTGGTGGGCGTGGCACAGTAAGTGTGCGCTTTATGCCCCATATCAGACGGGGGCAGGACACACCTTGAAATGACAAAGCCATATAACAAATGCTAATAAATTGACTCCCCTTTGTAGCCTCGCACTCACATAAAGTCACGTTCTGCCATGTGTTGAGATGGTTGGGATAGATATATATTTTAGTACAATGAGAGGGAGATAATATTGAAGCGCTAAACATATGAAAAATAAACAAAAGTATATAAAAATAATCCACTACAAAATATTAAAATAAACTA